TCACACAGTCATTACGATTTAATGTCCTTTTTTCAAACTGGTGTCTGCAACGAGCCTGACCTATAACCATCATCTCAAGGGCATACATCTCTTTTCATTACACCCAATTCCTGTTATCTGTAAACAGTGAAAACTACAGTATACTGTTCTGGGAAGCTCCTGGTGAACAGAGGCTCTTTTAATAAACTCACAGTTTGCATTTCCTTCAGGTGCTCTGTAATTAACACTACAGGCTTGTGCTGTTTCTACTTGTCACTGGATTTGTATTTAGTATTCCAATGTCACTTGTTGAACCAAAAGCACTTTGGGAATTCTTGGTACTGCGTTACCTGAGAATAACTGACATGCTTATAATGTTTGACAGCAGTGGCTGTAGTCCTCGTGAAGTCTCACATGTCAGACTGTCAGACCGGAGAGTAATTGTAATCCATTTTGAAAAGATTCTGTTCCCAGCGAAAACACAACATTCAATCAAAGCTCATCGTCCAGCACACGCTCCAGCTGGATGATGTCATGCATCCACATCTGTGTCTCACTCTCCCTGTCACTCACTCTGTGCACTTCTCAGTCTCCTCGCTTCGACTTGCATTATGTCTGCATCTCAGGGAAAGGCACACTGGCACAGCGTGAGGAAAGAACAGAACTTTTGTTTATTCTAACAGGTTGTGCGGATGAGCTTGAGTGACATAATTCAAACAAGACAGAACTGGAGGTGGAGAGATTTCCCAGCACGATGATACAGTATAGTGCTGTTGGCGTGGGCCAGCTACAGCAGCACTAACTTAGGCTAAGGCAGGAAGCTTGTTCAAATGTTGCTGACATCTGTAGTAACTTTATGATTAGTGTTTACTTTTACCCATCATGTGGTTGACATAACTTATATGTTTGGTGAAATTTGGTTCAGTTTTTTTTTTTGTGCAGCATACAGTAGAAATAATTTAGATTGTGCCCAGATTGTGAGGTCACTGACATTTTTCACATTAGCTGGAGCCAATCCCGGCTGACACTGGTTGAGAGGCGGGGTCCACCCTGGACAGGTCGCCAGTCTATCACAGGGCTGACATGTAGACACCACACATACCTACACTGACTCCTACGGGCAATTTAGAGTCGCCAGTCAACCTAAGCTGCATTTCTATGGACTGCCGGAGGAAGCCAGAGTACCCAGAGAGAATCCACACAGGCACAGGGAGAACATGCAAACTCCACACAGAAAGGCCCCGGGTCGGCCCGGGCTCAAACCCAGAACCTTCTTGCTGTGAGCCAACAGATCCCACTGCACTTCCTGGTAAATCATCTCTGCAGTGTGTCTTTAGCAGAGCCGCAGGTGCTTTGAGCTGTTCTTTCTAAACTGCTGTGAATTACATGCCTGGTAAAAGGTTAATCTTCACATAAATTGCTGTGCCCATCTAGTATTCTTCTGATCACTGATGCGAAGACAACTGTTCTGCAAACACTCAAAGGAGCAGTGCCGCTCTGAGGCTGTGTTTGCAGGGCAAAGTTGGGTCTGTGTCTTGGATTCTTAATGCGGATGGGTGACACTTTAGTTGATCTGTCTGGCTTTGCATGGGTTGCTAGGTCAGGCCTAAACATTATCCTCCTGGAGGAATTTAGCCTGATTGTTTTTGCCCTATTAACACACAACCGCTCTAATTTCAGTCGGCCTGTAATGTGATGAGTAAAGGTGTAATTGACTGTGGTTTTTCTCTACAAACCCCCACCCATGCTCATACAAATGCACACACTTTCTCTCCCTCCTCTCTCTATTTTTCTTCTCTTCCATACCTGCCTCTCCTTTCCTCTCATGCCTTCTCCACCTCCAGGGCGTCTCTCTGTGTTTGGATGTTTGCATTGGCAGGATGCGCCACAGTCATGAGACAGTGACGCTGAGAGACCGGCAGCACAGTTGCTTTCACTAATTTCTCCTGTAACGTCCGTGGAATCTGAGGCATGATGACGGTTTGCCGCAGAGGCCGTTAATTTGCTGCATCAGTGTTTTACTGTGGTGAAACATCTGAACAAACACCAGCAGACCAGGGAGCAGGTTGGTGTTGTGAAAGGTTTATTGGTTTGGGTAAAAAAAACAAAAAAAAAAAACATGATTTCTTTTGTCTGCCTACATTATATCTATTACAATTTCTTCAATTTATAATACATTTCAGTATAAGAAAGAAGGACATTGAAAAACTTTTAGTTTGTTGGCAATTTCTACAAAAAAAACAAAAAAAAAAAACAAAAAAAGACATGGTACGTTAATAGACATGAAAGAATGTGTTCACTATGTTCACCTCTCCCAGCAGTGACAGATACATTAGGCTTATAATCTATGTACTGTAGGCAAATCATTTGGCTGACTGGCCATTTTTATCCAGATTCGTTGATCTCGTACACACAATTTATGGTGCTACACAGGAAGTGGTGGTCGCCCATTGAGACGGCAAATCAAATCTTCTGACATGGTTGTACAATTTTCAAATATTTATTTTTTTTAAGGCTATAAAATAGTACAATGCGGACGACGGAGAATTTCAGAAATGCACAGAAATGATTATGAAGTAAATATTATTACAAGTGAAATAAAACATCTTTTCATTTCTAATATTAGAAAATAATGTCTAAACAAGCGAATAAGCAAAACTGTGTACAGCTGCAGTATGCACCTGTGTCATCTACTACCAAAGTAAACATTTGTTTTATGATTTTAAATATTAAAATAAAAGCCAATATCATGACAACATAAAAATAATAATACTGCAAACCTCTGAGCAGAAAATGGTTTTCTTTCTGTCAGTAATCCTTTCATGAATGATCATCTATTTTTAACTTTTACCTCAAAATACAACTCTGCATTCTTCCAGCAATGTGTGGATATAACTTAATGCAGATTACCCTGCACTGAAGGCCATACAGGTATGTAGCTCATATTTATACATGTGTCAAGATACTCTGGTATTTGTGAACACACATATATAGAGTCACATTCCTTGGTTTCAAGCGTGCATTTTCACCGAGCCTTGAGTGAGCAGGAAAGAAATTAAACCGCCAAATGCAGCACGTATATCCTGTACATTTAGAACCTTTTTAAACAAATCATTTTTTTTTTCTTTTGGGTTGGATACTTGCTCGGCAGCGGACCCCCAATGCTGACGGGGCCTGGCTGACTTCCCAGAACAAAACAATGTCTGCCAGGTTGACCGAGGGGCCCAGCAGCTGCCCCCCAGACACACACACAAACGTCTGGCCTTTAACCCGTCAGGGCTCAGGCCCTCCCTTACATAATGACAGAGAATGGAGGCATTAAAGCAATTTGTTTGATTTAGGTTGTCAAGGTGTCCTGGACCCCGCCCCTCTCAGCTGGTTTTGATACCTGTGTGTGTGCACGTGCCTTTCACACTATGAAAACCAAAACCTGGATTTTATGCCCGTTCAAGGAAATCCTTAAACTATCACGTAATACTTTATTTTGGTAGAAAAAAAAGTCTTGCGAGCGAACATGCGAAGAACGTATGAACACCTCATTTTTTGAGCTTTAGGTCGCATCTAAGATGATAAGTCACCATTGTAACATTGTAGATACGTCAAAAAACAAGGAAAGCGCCATGGGCTCTTTTTCAACTCTGTGTTGAATTTTGAGGCTTCAGTTTGTGATGGTTTGCGACTGGATCCTGTTAGGTTCAGTAGGTGTTGCTGTTACTGTGTCCACCTTTTGTGTCGGCCAGGTGAGTGGCATAGGAAACACCGTTATCACACAGTATGTGCTGGAATACTGATACTGTATAAGGTGTCCCCTCGTGTCCTCTTGTAAATGATGTAAATGAAAATGCCAGAATGCAAATTAAAAGCATGAGTGGAGCGTCACAGGTAATTACACTGAGCTGCGGAGTGTAATTGAACCTGATCAAACCCGCTCACTGTGTGTGTGTGTGTGTGTGTGTGTCAGCGTGTATGAGTGTGTATGCACTATGAGTGGAATAGAGGCTCAGTGTTCTTAGGTCCCAGTTTTAAATAAGGGGTCTTTATTTAGCTGTGTGTGGAAGCACTAAAGGGCCAAAGTGTTTCCTCCATACAGACATAGCTCAGGCCGCCCGCTCCAGGTGTGGTGACCACTCAGCAGCATGGCTTTTAACCGTCACGCTTGATTTGGAGCCTGAGGCCAACCTGACTTACACGGCTCGAGTACACTCACTCACACAGTCATGCACGCGCACATCCATTTCTGATTTAAAGTTAATTTCCCCCCATAGTCCCCACCACACATAGCCCTCAGCAGTGGAAAGAGGTATTCTGGGAGTTGCAGTATTAAGTTTGAGATATGAACTTTGTGATTGCTCCAGTCAAGCTCCGCACCATTGTTGCCTCCCACTTTTTTCTGGGAGGGTTTTTGGTGACTGTGTGAAATGTGATGTGTGGTAGTTTGGATGTGATGTAAGTTAAAGCTACAGTATGTAACTTAATGTAGCACAAGTATGAATCTCCAAATCAGCCCACTCTGCTCCACCCGGCGCTCCCTCTCCCTGATCCACTGCACCCTGTCCAGCTCTTCAGACATTTGTGGTTATGGAATTATAAGAAGTGAGAATGCAACAAAATTTTATGATTAATCAGAAATAATTGAACATTTCTGATTGGTCAGAGAGGTCAACCCTACTCAAAACCTTTTAGAAGCAAATATCTCTGCACTGCTACCAGTGCTGGTCAATGAGTCTGGGACAAAGGAGGCTTCTGTATCTTTAAGCAATGATATAAATGACTTTTATTTGCATTTGTACCATTTTTCTTTCAGCATACTTTGAAAGTATCTGACCTTCTTTACATGACACACACACTTTACTGTGGTGCTGAAACAGACTTGAGTACAAATCTCTTCTCTTAGTACAACCCTTTTGTACAGTATGCAGAATAGTGTTGATGATCCTTTTCAGAATTTGTCTAAATAGATGGATGAGATTATTCTGTCAAGCTCCATTACTTTCTCTGTCTTTTTCTCTCTCCTCTCCTAGATCTCCTTTGACTTGGCTGAGTACACTGCTAACGTGGATGGTGTGGGTACACTGCGTCTCTTGGACGCCATAAAGACGTGCGGTCTGACCAACAGTGTAAAATTCTACCAGGCCTCCACTAGTGAGCTGTACGGCAAAGTCCTGGAGATCCCTCAGAAGGAAACCACACCCTTCTACCCTCGCTCACCTTATGGTAATTCACACAAATACATAATGTACTGTAAATCCACATGGAAACACAGATAACTACTGTTTTCTACCGTGCACCATTTTTCAGACAATTGTGTAACGACATAAAAACACATGTAGCTTGATGCTTCTGTGACACTGTTTTCTCTGTGTGTGAGTGAATAGAGGGGGGCTTCAGTTCTCAAGCGGCGTTTGAGCTCTCCACACACCCCAAGGCCAAACGTCTGACTGAGGACTGGAGTGACTCTCTCTCTAACAAAGACACCTTTATATCCACAGCACTCAGTACTCACTTTCAGCACACACTCACTTGCACACACATGCAGGCTGTACACGTGTGTGAGCGATCAGGTTTCATGTTCTCTGTTGTCTAAATGTTCTCCTCACTGACACTTTCCCCATCTGTCAGCACTCAATCTGAGCCTGCAAGGGAGATGCATACCATCATGAGGAGGGCTGCTCCTCTATTAATTAAACTGGGGAAGGGGGAGGCGAGGGTTGCCATGGTGACCTTCCTTCACCTCCAGTGTACATCCTGACCTATGGCTTAATTAACGGGCGCCTCCCTGCGCTCACTCTGCCATTTCCCTCATCACAGGAGAAGGAGGAGAAAGATCGTGAGAGGAAAAGTGGGGAGAACTTTTTGTACAAGCCTGCTTTTGGTCAGTCAGCAGGAGACTGTGCTTCACGTTCCTGACCATGAAATATGATCTGTGGTACTGCTGTGTTCAGCTACAGTATGACATGTGGCATAGTTACAACACTGAATCTTTCCCTTTGGTTTATCTGGAGCTTTAGAATAGAGGACCAGTGTTTTTCTTTAGCTTTAATCACCACTCTGTTTGATTGAACAGTGTCAGTAGTGACAGAATGTTTTTATTTTTTGACTCAGTGACTAAAATCATATCAGAGTGAAAGGTCTGCTGTTATAGTCCATAGTGGTGTGAATATGGATGTGAATGTGTGAATGTACAAGAAGCCGTGAGTGATATGTTTCTCTTTTCCTGTTCTTCTGTCCTGCTCCACCTCTCCTCCCAGGTGCTGCTAAGCTTTATGCCTACTGGATTGTGGTGAACTTCAAAGAGGCTTATAACATGTTCGCTGTCAATGGGATCCTCTTTAACCACGAGAGCCCGAGGAGAGGTGAGCACACACATGACATGCATTCAGGTTTGGCCATAGTTATTTTTGATCATAACGTGCAAATCGGGATGTTCCAGCATCTGATAAGAACAGATATAATCATCAGCTCTGTAGGAAATGTACTTACTTACAAAGAAATACAAAAGTCTATTCTAGATCAAATCAAAGTTCACTTATAGGAGTGAAATAAGAACAGTTTAAAGCATCTCATACCATTCCCTTATGAAGTTACATGTGTGGTATAATACACTATAAGCTTGAATTTGTGATGATGCAGCATTGGCTTCCAACGATTATGAAAAGAAGATAATCTAAGTAAAACGATTGTTGTGCCGCACTCCTTTTTGCAACAAATCTCTCGTTTTGTGTTGTATTATAAAGCGCACCCCTGCAGCTCTCTGCAGTGTGAGCATGTTTTGCTCACATCCAGTAAAATAAAACAAAGTCACCAAGACTAATCCGTCAAAACCATGCTAAATGAGCATAAACTTGCAGAGGAGTGATCACTTCAGCTTTGCTCCCAGTTCGTCACACACCGCTAGTGTGCTGAACCAGCTAAGACAAAAGAAGACTGCATGTAGTGTTAAACAAGAGGGAGAGAGATGTTTGTGGTTGTGTCTGTGGTTGTGGTGAGCCCAGCACACAGTCACAATTAGGCAGATGAAATACTTTATTTTTCAGTTGAATCACATCTAAAATTCATGAAAACCCCCTGTTGAAAGACACGTTTTTTGAATTCATGATGTTTCCAAAGTCAAGGAACACTCATGTTTTGCCATAATCATGCGGCCCTAGATTTTTATAATATTATAGTTAAATAACTACCGTAACTACTATGCATTTTATATTGCCAGGTAGGAATGATTGCATCATGCATCATTGTAAAGTTGAAATCTTGACATCACATAGTATGTGGAACTTGCTAAACCCACAATGCAGCAGTAAAAGAGGTAAATCACTGTTGAAGTATTCGATTACTTTATATAAAGTTAGATTTATTCATGGGTGGAGCAAAGTTTTCTCGTAAGTGCTTCACACACCCACTCACACATATTCCAACACAATGAGTGGGTTGTGGTCACATTTTTAATATGTGCTCTGAGCCCCGAGGGTCGCAGGCGCTGGTTTAACCTGATTTACACGCCACTGTGACCCAAAATGAATACCACATGAGTGCAGCCCCAACACTGCGCCCAGGTCAGCTGCTCAGGTGTTTATGATTTATCTCCTAATGAAGGCCCTGGCCACGACCCCAGCCAAGGTCAGGGGTTAGCCAGTAAGCCCTAATGGGTTACCACTGATAGATAGGTGTGGGAACTGGTGTAGTTTATAGCCAGTTCAGCAAAGTTGGTGTGGGCTCCATCGATGACATAGCTGGGCTGTTGTGTGCTGCAGACAAACAAGTAGAAAGGACGGGTTGGATGTCAGGAGTAGTGATGGAGATCAATAGGGACAATTTGTCAGTCAACAGAAAATGAATCTTCAACTATTATAATAAGGGGTTAATTGGTCTGGTCATTTATTAGGCAAAAACGACCAACCTTCTCTGGTTTCATCCTCCCACATCTGAAGATTTGCTGGCTTTTAAACTGAATGTCTTTTGTTTGTCCAAAAAAAGCATTTTAGCTTCTGTT